TGATATAGATTATAGATTGATATAGATTATGGATTGTTATAGATTATAGAATATTGATAGTGATCTAAATTTCTTTATTCTTCAATATCAGTACTCCCTATCACAGTAATACTATTGCTTAAAAATCAAGAATCTAGATTACCGTCTATATAATATTGTTAGTATTTGTTGATTCTGACAGTATTATTAATTGTGTAAGATCAGTAAAAAGAGTACTTCAGCATTTCTGTTAATATAGTTGCACAATTATGTAGAACTGAGCTGAAATAAGGCTATCAATAATATTTGTCAATAATATTGATTATGTAAATAATATTGCAAAAATGTTGATTACATTTTTGCAATATTATTTATGTGTATTGTTGGTATTACTGATTCAATATTACTGTTCAGTATTGGTTGTTTAAAATTCATATAAGAAGTATATAGCATTTTATAACAATATATTAATATTTCAGAGTATCATACCTAGATTTATAATGAAAAAGTTAATGATCTCTTAAACAAAAACCAAGACAAAAACTCAACAGATTTGAAAGTACATGAAGATGTAAATGGTCAAGTATTCGTAGAGTGTAAGGAAGAAGTTACAAATAGTCCAGAGAATGTTTTAGCAATAATGAATAAAGGCAATAAAAGCAGAAGAATAGGCAAAACAAACATGAATGAGCGAAGTAGCAGAAGCCATACGATATTTAGAATTGTAAGAACAATTTTCATTAATACTATATGTGAGATATTTTAAAAAAGAAAATTATTTTTCCTACTATCGTGCGCAAAGTTCGATTTTGCACACGCATTTGCGTGCGCAAAGTATCACTTTCCCACACTTGTAGTTTAGCGTGCGGGAAAGTAGTTATGCGTGCGGGAAAGTACTTTCCCGCACGCATAACTGCTTTCCCGCACGCTAAACTACAAGTGTGGGAAAGTGATACTTTGCGCAAATGCGTGTGCAAAATCGAACTTTGAGCACGATAGTAGGAAAAATAGTATACGATACTCGTGCGCTGCGTAGGTGTTCCCACACGTGTGGGAAACACCTACTTTGCGCACTTGTATCGTAATGTACTATTATTATTACTACTAAATAAAGTAACTTGTATATAACAGATATAAATTACTATAATTGCAAACTTTTGTTATTCATTGCAATGCAAAAAAAAATCTAGTTTACGCTATGTATATTATAGATTTTTACTTGTAATGGATAATGGGATACAGCCTGTACCTGAATATAATAATTCATATATTTCCATAAATTTGAAAGTTGCAACACAATGACATTATTGCAGACGATTGAAAGTCGTGAGGCTGGTGCAAGTTCCGATAGTGCAATACAAGTTTCCCAATTAAATATGGTTGATCTAGCTGGTTCAGAAAGAGTTCGTCAGACAGGTGCTACTGGAGAACGTTTCAAGGAAAGACGTCATATTAACTTATCACTTTCAACGTTGGCCTTAGTAATAAAAAAATTGAATGAATCACAAGACTATGTAAAAATTTTTGAAACAGTAAATTAACAAGATTACTTCAAACTTCATTGGGTGGCAACGCAATGACAGTGTGGATATGTCTACCACGAAGGCCTGACTCGAAGCTTCGGAGTCGGCAGCAGCGTTTCGTCTTGGTCCCACACTACTAAGCTTATCAGTAAGACGATGTAGTGGGGGACTTGCCTTAGACGCCTGGAATGAATCCAGAATGATATTCTATTTAAAGAAAAATTCGCGCGGTGAGGCGCTTACGCGAACCGAGTGAGTCCCGTAGACCTCTAGTGGCGAGTCGCCACAACAGTGATGATATGTGCAGTAACACCAGCTGCATTAGACGAGACTCGATGCACATTATCGTTAGTATTTTTTTTGAGACCATAGTTAATCTCAAAAATCTCAATAGAAAACTGAGCGATCTAAAATTAGATACCTCTGTACACAGTGTAGCCACTTGAATGAGTTAAACGAAAATCGAAGAATGCTGAAGCTCGAAGTAAAGACTCTTAATCGCAGATTGAAAAACTTGCAGAGGAAAATCTCTAGCAAATCCGCAAAGAGTGACGCACTCATATTAAAGGCCAAAAAAGATTTAAACGTAAGTGCGTGTAATTTATCTTGCGGTCAATCTTTATTAATTTTTTTTTCTTTATTAATTAATTTGAATACTTCATTACAGACTAACATAAAAAAAAGAAGGAAGAAGAAGTTGTAAGTATACAAATTATTATTAAAGTAATATGTTCTAGAGCTTTGAATTTTTCTACTTCAAGGCGCTAGAACTTATTTGTTTGTGGTCTTAACTATTTGATTATTGAGGATAATCGTTAGAATCCCTTGGACGGGAAGGGGGCTATCAGAACTCGTAACAGAAGGCTGAAAATCTAAAAAATTTTTTCAAAAAAAATATTTTGGGAAAATTTCTTCGGAAATCCGGTACTTTCTTGAAAGTTCTGATAGCCCTCCAAAGGTTTCTAATGATTGTCCTATATGGATTGAAGTGCTAAAATGAACCGTAAAGAAGTTATAGCTGTTCAAAGTTTCGGAATCGTGAAGTTGGCCCCCCCGATATTTAAATGGTGTTTTCACCGTTTTAATCGACGGAACTCTTTGTAAAATTACATCAACCAGAATGGAGCAATCAGAATTAATTATTTTTTCCAAATTTAAAAAAATGGGGCCAATTTCACAGAGGTTGCAAATACGTTATTTAAAAAAGGATTAAAACATCTTTTTCTTTTTGTTACAGGAATGCGAAATATGTTCGAAAATGTATGCCAAATCAAATATACAAAGACACAAAAAAATACACGAGGGATCAAGTAAAAGGGAATGTCCCATCTGCAAAAAAATGTATAGTAGAATAGATGTCTTAAAACTTCATTTTAAAAAATGTAAATAAAAGGCTAATTTAAGTTTATAACGTTCTTGGAGTGATTTTTTCAAAATACCATACGATATGGCAAATTGCCAACAACGAAAAATATCAATGCGCAGCAGCAGAGCATTCCAAATGGATCAATACGAAAATGCGCGCACATCCGTTTTCCTCGCTCGTCTTCGTAGTTTGCAGGTTGGGGATGACTCCAGTCGTGAGCTCGCCCAGCATGTTCATTCCGAAAATTTATCGAAGATATTATTGCTCGAGATAATTGTTTTCATCGATTTGTGTTCCATTAAAACAGTTATCTTTACTTAGAATTTTATTGTCAGAAATAGAGTTTAATTGCGATGCAATGCATCCCAGGGTGTGTGAGAATATGAGTCTGCTCAGTTGAATAAACATGATGGGGACGAGATACGCATCATGTAATTACATAATGTTTACTATACATTATTTTCTGTTTGTTAAAAGAAGAAATAAATCTTTGTTGTAATTTATAAATATATTATTTTAAATAATAAATACTATATATATCTTAATTAATTTTAATAAATTGATATAATTTTTAATTATAAACAATTTTTAGAAATTTTTTAATATTTTATAAAATTATTAAATTGTACAGATAGTCTAAAGCTTGCTAGTCTACATGACGCTTATCAACGATTACTTTATGGAACCCAGCCGATACCTTCTGGTTTAGACATCGCAAATATATTGAAATATTTTTCTCAAACCTTGCTATGTAAGTAATTGATGTACAAACAAATTGCGTATAACAAATTTGTTTTATTTACTTTCAGTAATTATAGATTACAATTTGCTTATAATCGATCAGTAAATCTTCTCTTTCTCGGAATATTCTTATCAAGCTCTCTCTCTCCATTATATTATAAGAATATTTATATTATAAGAATTTTTAGTTCTCGTTTTTCAACATAATTATTTAAATAATCTAGTAAATGAAATATAGCAATAAATATTTTCAGGTCTGTTAAAAGAATCATCCGTTTCACCGTTCGATATGATCAAATCGCAACAGCTCGATGGAGAACGAATGGCTTTGTTCCCAAATTTGGATTATAAGCAGCTCTACAATGCGTTGACGCAGATGATTGACGTTACACCGTTGATCCATGTTGGCTTGCCAGGTTTGTCTTCATTATTCTATCGTTATTATTAAATATATGTTATTACATTAATAATATTATTAAATATATTAAAATGGAGAATTAGACGTGTTACTCATACTTGACTCTAGTAAAGTCTAAAAAAATTTCGTTACTTTTTCTAACAATTATCGAGAAAATAGCATGTTTTAAAAATTAATTTTACATATCTTCTTTATATGGTATAAATAAAAATATAAATTTGTATGTTACTTTCAATAACTATGGATTACAATTTGCTTATAAATTAGTAAATTTTCTCTCGGAATATTCTTGTCAAGCATCTTAATTCTATGCATATAATAAATATAATTTACATTTATTTTTTAGCATTCGGGAAAGCCTTGCTACAATGTCTAGCGTGCATGCTGCTGTTCTTGGATCACGATTTAATTGACAATTTATCGTACTTAACTGCCAGTACGATATCAGTACTTCCCGTGGAACTGCATGAAGAAATTGTCAATTATCTCTGTTTTTACATTTTACCGTTTACCATCAGTGAGTTTTTCCATTACATTTATATTTATATCGGTATTATTCGAACTTGTGTATATTATATGATAAGCACACATTCTCGTCTTTCTAAGAGAGAATAACAGCTGCCGGGAGGGAATGTGAGTGTGGAAAGAAAATATTAGTATTTTACCGATAGGAGCTTTTCCGTTAAGTAAAAAATTGGCTTGCCGGCTAAAAAAATCAATTGATAAAGCGTAGAATAGTGCGCATTTTATTAATAATTAATTTAAACATAAGCTTTAATCATCTACATATACAGATACATGTATAAGCAGAATTAATACTTTTATTTTTATGAGATGACGTTATCCAGATTAGCTTGTAGCTACATTTATATATTATTAAGATTTTATTATTATATTGTAGTACTTGAAAGCTAATGGTAGAAGAAAAAATTTTTAAAGATTTTTATTACAAACACTTTAACTTTCAGCAAGGAAACCTGAAATTGGAGACGAAAGTGCCGCTAGTCAATCAGTGGCCGCTGTTATAATGATGGTGTTTCAGTATTCCAATAATCCAGGTATCATATATAATATAATGTATGTCATAGGAAAAAGTATAAAATTAATACAATTTAATTCATAAAATTATAGTAATCAAAATTATATTAAACAAGATAATTAGTGCTAGTACCTTTACACGCTTTTCTAAAATATTGTTTATTATGAAAGTGTGTATATATGTGTATACTCACACATACGAATAAAAATGTTAAATTTGTAGACGTATGTGTACTACGAAAGAGAAAATTTTCTCTTTTCCAGCTCATCATTGTCAATTGCTGGAGTGTTTAATGGCTCTGAAGCCAGGAGTAGTGAAAGACATTCTTTGCGTTATCGCTTACGGCACCGCATCAGCAAGAGCATCAGCTGCGAAATTGCTGTTTTATTACTGGCCTTCATTTAATCCAAATTTATTTGATCGCCGTGCGGTGTTAGTAAAATTTGCTAGTGAGTATTAAACCTAAAATTATAATAATTAACAAAAATATAAAGTACATTCTGATGAAAAAATTTCGCTGAAATTATTCCACGTTTTGGAACATTTCAGCGAAATTGTTGAACATTTGTTGAAATTTCCCTGAAAGTGAATTTTTCAGTTAACATACTGAAAAATCACTAAAATTAAATTGAAATTTTGCTAAAAAAAAAATTCTCAGCTAAAAATCGTTGAAATTAAACTGGAATTTTTCTGAAATGCTGAAATTTTGTTGAAAAGTGTTCCAAAACGTGGAATGATTTCAGCGAAATTTTACTATCAAGGCATTATGTATTGCAGTAACAGCGTATTAAAGTTTATTCTTATACAAATCATAAGTTGTTTAATATGTTAAATTTTATTTTATTAGGCTTTATGACATGCGTTTTGCGTTAACGATCAGTTTATTATATACGAAAAATATAAATATATATAATGTATTTAATATATCGATATATGTTTAATATTAGGCAAGAGATAATAAACAAATTCCAAGATTCATACAACAATGTATGACATATAAAACTGTATTATCTGTGTTCCAGATGATTTCACCCCGTTCGTATGTCAACGAGATAGCTGTCCGAATGCCGGCAATGCGGAAGCTGCAAAAGTTTGTTACAATCATGACATTTCCATCACGTACGCCGTTGAATCTCCGCCTCCTCTTTATCTCTGCATCGAATGCGCGAATGAGATTCATCGAGAGCATCCAAATCAAATGTTTTACGACATTTTGCATCCAATGCAACAGGTGTCTATGGTTTGCGAGAACAAGGTGAACATATTGACTTTAAGAGAATTCAAGTTTGTTGCACATAATGTACAATGTCGCTCAAATATTTAAAATTTTACTAATATTTTTATTTTCTGTTTTTGATCAGAACTGTAGAGGGACAGATAAATCAGCTATCAGTGTTTGCTTTTCGACAGAATGCGCAAGTTACAATGGAAATCATCCTATACGATATTGTCAGCAATGTCACAGTATTCGTCATAACAATCGTCGTGGCGGTGATCACGTTTATCACATGGCGCTTCCGCACATTTCGCAGCTGGATCCGCAAGCACAAACTTATATGGTTCAAGCGATTGTCAGGCAAGCTGTAACCGTAATCATAAGTGATAATGCAAGCTCAGCTAGACATGATATTTTGTTTTACAGTTTGCTCAGAGAAGCTGAACCGATAAGTATCGATAGCAATCGGGACACAACAGATATAAGTGCTAGTACTAGCAATAAGGGTGGCATAGGATTCGTAGGAAGTAGCAGTGGCGCAAGTAGCGGTGCTGGCGGTATCGGGAGTACGTTCGGTCATTGCGACCCTACAAGCTTAGAGGAACGACAGCTCCTCGGCAGATATGGCGTATGGCTGCTAGTGGGACTTTGTACCCCTAACGAAGATACCCCGGTTGAAATACTGGGCCGTTTATTATCAATGTTATTTCATTGGTTTCATGTCACTGCCTACTGTTTCGATGGTATTGAAAAAAGACTTATACACCTTATCTTTTCTGTTGGTAATTTAACACTTTGCATATATACACTTTACTCAAGTAGACGTAGAGAGCCAGACGTAGGTAGTAGCGTGGTATGTCGGCTAAATATGTTGCCAAGATGTACAAGATGTAAGCATCCTCTGTATACACACTGTACATGTAAAATATATGTTGTTAGCCTCCATGTTTGTCTCAAGGAAAACATTATGTCGATGTTTGAATATATTTGTTTCTGAAATTATAAACCAAAATACGCCTGAAATATTTAGCCGAATTTAATATATTCCGTCGTATGAATTAAACGAAAATATTCGAGATTTCATTGATAAAAATTGCATGCAATGTATCAAAGATATCAGCACACAACTCGACACATATTTGAAATTTGCACTTAAATGTCGAATACTTTAAAAAATGTAGCCTCGCATTATTGCATGCCAAAGTTCGGGATAATAATAAATGTCAAATCTGTTCATGTGTTCCAATCGTGTTGTATGTCGTTAGATTGATAGTTTAACGATCAATTATAATAGCATTCCTATATCAATTTTGATACTTCTGTTTTTTATAATCAATTTCTCAATCATTTCAGGGCAGGCGGAAAGCGCGCTTGAGAAGTTAAAAACGGAGTACGTTTGCGACTGGCTCTCAGAAGTTATGAAAACGCACTATGAAGTATTCATTTCTTGTCTTCTACCACATCCTGCGGACTACGTCAGGGTCGGAGGTCATTGGTAAAGCAGAGATTTGCATTTTTAAATAAAATATTTACATAATATATGTAATTTTGATTATATATACGAAATTTACAATGAACGATATTATTGTAATATTTACGATTGCGATTAAATCACGTTGACAAAATTAACATCAGTTATTGTTCTGCCAAAAGGGAAACCTTGGCTTCTCGGACGTCGCATTTAAAAGACGGACTGCATCGACTGTTTTGTCTAGTACCGTACGAAGTGATAACGCCCGACGTATGGGATTACGTGATGCCGCATTGGATGGAAGCAGTGGTAAATGACGTTCCAGAAAATGAACTTCAGGAGCTAAAGATAATATTGAGGTATTTGTTTTTTTTATTTCGAGAAAATCTTTATATATTTGGAATTTTCAATTTACACGAAAAATATTTATCATTTTATGTTGCAGCAAAATCTTGGACCGAGACATGAATTCTTTAGGATTTGACGTGAAGAAAATGTATAACTTTATAGCAAAACGGTTCGTCAATACGAGCGCTAAAGTACAAGAACAGGCCCTTCACTGGTTGCAAACACTTACTATGCTGGAAATAACATTACCCTTGGATCAACTATTTTCAATATTTAGCGACGGAGTAGCTGTTATGCAGTCGATGAGCTTGGCAGAATCAGAATTAAAGCCAAGCAAGTCTACGAAGGAAGATGATGTAAACATTACATGTATGTAATTATAATTAGTATCTGTACTGGTTATCACTGTACCTTAATATTTTGCCGAAAGAATTGTTAGCTTTATAAAAATTAATTTCATTTTTAATTAAAAAGGCTCCACTCACGATTTATTATTTAGAATTATAAATTTGTTATATAATTTTAATTCTCGACTACATGGGTCGTTTGGACTCAAAGAGAAAATTTTTTTGGATGAAAGTATTGTTACTATGAAGTTTCAAATTGTGTAGGTAAAAAAACTTTAAACCTTCCTCTATCAATCGCTATAAGAGGTTCGCTTGCATTCTGTATTTCAAACATGACACTTTAGAACTTAGATATATGTTGAGGATTAGGCATGATTTTAACATGTTTAGGTCCCATAGTGGAAAATGATTCGGGGAAATCGACACCACTTTCCGATGATGTAGTGCCAACGCCAAGACACATAGAATTTTTGACGAATGCAGAACTTAATTTATCTTGTTGTATTCTCATGCTTGATATATTACTGAAACAGGTGAGATATAAATCTTTAAAAGCGTTATCTATATATATATTAATTATGTATAGAATCTTTTTTGATTCACTTTTATGTAACGAAAACAAAATAAAAAAATTTGGTTTTGGAAGATGGAACTTCAAAATGTAGACAAGCATACTGGAATTAATACGCGGGTTTGTCGAGACGCTTGCCATTTAATGAAATCCATAGTTGCATCCAATTGGAACAACTCTCACGTTTGCGATAATACTTCAGACATCGAATGTTCTTATTGTGAGTCAAGGGTAATCTGGCACCAACTATGTCTACAATTGATTACTTACATGGCACCAGAAAATCCGGCGTATCCTCCCGACGTTAGTTGACTTCATAATTTTAATTTAATTAATAATTATTATACAAATAATTATAATAAAATGTTGTGCAATAAATAAATATTTATAGATAATAACTTATTTTTTCGATATTAAAATGTTTTAATTATGTGTGAAACACAAGAGAAAATTAACAAGTTTTTATCTTTTTCAGACAATAGTGGATGAAAATGCGGATGATAATGCTCGTAAAAGTTCCCCGGAAACAACAAAGAAGGGTGATTCGAAACCGGATGTGGTTATCAACATGCCTGTACCAGAAATGCATTCTGTCGGTGGAGTCTTAGTTCATATGCCACACGTACGTCTCTTAATAAATAAACTCTAAAATGACAAATCAATCTTTCGATCTCGGACGTTAATAACATATTTGATGTTTGTCTCATTGACAATTAAATTTCCGTGACTTTATTGAAAAAAGAAAAAGGATACGAAAAGAAAATTATTCTTCAATGAGATAAACATCACCAAAAAAATGTTATTTCTAATATGTCACTGCGTATTACACAATCTTCCATTAATAAAGCAGCATGCTACTTAAAACTGTCTTAACTGTGTATATGTGTCCGTATGCGCTTCTCTCTCTCTGTCTCTTCTTCTACGACACGGCCTGATCACAAAGACACGGTAGGCTAATCTATGTTACCGGAATAGCTATTTTGATCGTTTATGTTAGTTCTTCGAACAGATTATGACAGCGACAGTAGAGACAGTTTCGGAACAGCTGGACCTCGCAGCTATCATGCCAACGGAGAAGATTATGTCGGCCGTCGCGAGAACGGTTACACTGTCAGAAACAGACGTCGGTGAGTACAATATTCTATGTATATCACAACTTTTCAAAAATTATATTTAATTATAATATTATATAAATGCACATATATACATATGTATACATTTTCAGCTACCGCAACAGTGAGCGTGGCAAAACCACATTTGATAGGCGAAAACGATGAACCCGTGAGCTTAAGTCCGGAAGCTGATTCGGATGATTTTTGGCATACCTCCGTAGGGAAGTTTCGTTTTACGATAGAAGAACTACCGGAACAACTTCAATATATTCATAAATTGCTGAAGGTATTAATACTATGACTGTACTACAAATTACAGCGGCCTACAATGCATATGCAATATGCACAGAATTACGATTATTAATTTATTTAATAATTACGCGCTGACTGTAACTATTTAAGTAATCATTTCGCACAAATCATAATACTTATAATCCTATAACTATAAGAATAAATTTTACAATTGTCAAAACTATTTAATTAAATGATTAAAAATTACTTTCGAAAAATTTCATTTGCAGGAGATAATGACCATCGATAAACCGGACATTCTTTACTACATGTTGCAGTGCTTGAATGTAATGTGCTTGTATGGTGACGCATTTAATACTGCAGTGAAGGATCATCAAGGATTCTTTATATGGTGCCAAGAGAATTTATTAATAAAAAAGTACGTATTAGCTACACTTGTTAAAGTATTTTTTACAGAGGTGATCAGAACTTGTGTAGTTTCAATTAATCTTCTCAATCGTTTATTATCCTTTACAGTTTATGGGAACTCTTAAACGCAGAACATTCGCATATAGCACAAGTGACCGTTCCGTTGTTATTGCATTGCGTAACATTACCCTGCGGCACCGACACTTTCTGGCGGCTTGTACAAGAAGAATTTCACAATTCCGATTGGCGTGTTAGATTCGTCGCGGGTAATCACATATAATCTGAATAAATTGACTACTTGATTTATTATTATTCTAATTGGATCTTTCTCATTTTAACATAGTATATTTATTTTATATATTCCTTTATTTATTAATTTATTTTATTTTTTAATTTCTTTATTTTATTTTCTAATTGATTTAAATTTTTTAAAAATGATATTCTGTTATATTTCAGTCGAACGTGTTACATTAATTGCGAGATTTATGGATTCAACGCCATTGCGGAACATATTAAGTCTTCAAGCTGCATTAGCAAATGCGTTCTGTTATTTAATAACAAGTATGGATGACAATAATGTGTACGTTGCGCAACGTGCTACCTTGTACCTCGGTACTATTCACGATACAGCAATTAGGGTAAATTTTATCAAGTTCTTAAAACTTCACCTATCTGAAATTGAGTTTTTAAAGATCTATCGTGTGTTTTCTCAATATATTAGAGTATTTATTTATTGTTTAATATCATATATAATTTCTGGATTTTGATAAGAAAAATAATTCTCCACGTTAAATTCGAACTATTATTTATAATTTTATTTCAGTCGTTAATTTTATGCCTGGAAACGCAATTTGATTCCGTAATAGTAGACCGGCCAATGGTATTGCAATCGCTTTATCAGCTACACAATAGTCTTAGCGATCGACGTATCTTAACGTGGGAATTTTTCTTGAATCGATTTGATACGTTATTTCTCGAGGCTCAAATCAACTTGGAGAAGTCGGGGGATGTGACTTATTTGCGCGGTTAGTATCATCCTATTAGTGGGAAAAATATAAATATTATGACATTTTACGCTATGTATTACATTAAAAAAATTATGTTGCTTGAGTAAATATATCGATGTTCTGAGTAAGCTTTTCTGTCATAGATTTAAAAAATACGGATATGAATAGTGAAATATTTATGAAGAAATTACATCGCGCACATGAAGCGTTATCTCAGTCTGACGGTAGCGGAACAAGTTCCGTAAAGACACTGAGTGCGAGTTTTGGCACAAAATGGCCTTACAAGCGTACGATGTCCGCACCCGCGTCGATGATACCTCGACAAGACACTAAGCAAGGTACGTACCCTAAACGTTCTCGCTTTTTCTCTAGTCCTTATCCCTATCGCCTTTTCGCGCACATCACAAACTATGTCGTACACTGTGTGTTACTTTTCTCCTTTTGTTTTCCGCATCTTTCACGCAGAAAAGGAAAAGGTGTACAGCCGACAGTATTCTGCGCCGATCTTGAAAAGGAAGAGCTCGAGATTCGGACTGGGTCAGTTGTTGGGGTCCACCCCGCCTAATAACAGTATTCCAGGTAGAGTAGCGTGTGTTGCCTGCGTAGCTGTAGACAAGACATAAATGTACGCGCAAATATGTTGCTCGTTTGTATTACACGGATGTTAACGCAATCAACTCCAGATGGATCGTTCGAATAGGTCGAACGGTAAGTAGCAAGTCGCAAAATTTGCAGAAATGCTTTAGTGATGTCTGTTATTAATGTATGTTTAAAGTGTGAAGATTATTGCTTTCGAAATCGTAAAGTAAATTGAGCAAGTTATGAAAGGACTTATAAATTGCTTTTAAATGCATGTTTTGTAATATACAAGTAATAACAAAGATTTAAAAATAGTGTTTATCCTTTTTTATCTCGTAAAATAGATTTGATTGGGCAGAATTTTTTATCTACTGAAAGCAAGTCAAATTGTATACTTTATATAATATAAAAATAAAATTCTTCATTCTCTCTCTCTCTCGCATAATCTTAAAATACAGCTTCGAATTAATAGTTCAGTTTTTCTTCGTGTATCGTTTTAATTAGTCTTTGAGATAATGTGTGATGTGCATGCCTTTTTTTTTGTTTAGTGTAAATTTATGATTTACTTACAATTAGCATAAATTTATAATTAATTCTTTGAATTGTAAAAAGTGACATAGATAGATAGAAATATAGTTAACATTAATATTCTTACTTTGTAGATCTTATTTCTTCTTTTTTGGTGAATCTTATAATTATAGAACGTAATTAATATTGGAAAACTTTGCAGATGGTCACATACATTCATTGAACATGGTCGACGAAGCTAGTACGTTGCCAGGATATACTCACAAAATTGTGGATCTTGAAGAAGCAGATAAAGAAACTATGCATTTACTAGTCTTCCTCTTAATGCAATTTCTATCGAGACAGGATCAGGTAAATCATCAACCTATTAAATCTATCTTCGTAATACAAAAGAAAAGAGAGAAAGCTTCCCAGGTAGCAAGCTACGCCATTTTGACGTCAAATGACGTCTTTTTGACGTCAGCTTGCTACCAGGGTTTCGATATACATTTAACGTAAAATATTTAAAAATCGTAAAACATTTTTTCGATCTTACGCCTTCAATTTTATAAATTAATATCATTCAATCAGGCCTATCCGACGGATGAGAAACCAATGTCGAAAACGCAGGGTATAGTCTTGCGGCACTTATATCTTCTGTTGGGATACAATCAAACTGAGCGCACTTTCCATACCACTCCGCAACGTTTAAGGTGAGATTTCCGTAACATTATATTGTATTAATTATTATTACAAGTAAGCATTCGAATTATATTAATAGTTTAACAGCTCTCGGATACAATGATGATTGTAAAAAATATTGTAATCAAGTAAATGAAACAATTTCCAGTTTTTTGTCGATGTTCGATTAAAATTATGTATCAAATTTTTATATCAGAGATCTCTTACATTTTTGTTTTTTATTATTTTAATAAAATTTATAACAATAGAATCATTATAGGTTGTCGCCAGCGTTTAACGTCTTCATTGCTAATTTGCCACAACTATTAGACCAGAATCATGTCATGGGCTGGCTGATGACGCCATCAGTTTTGGCGATATTACAATATTGCCCTTGCCCTCCGCAATCTACACCTCCAACTGATCATCAACCACCGAACTACAGCCTTTGGTATTTAGAGCCACATATCAGACGGTCTTGGTTGATGTCTTTGCTTGTTATTTTATACAAGGTAAAAAACTTATATGAAAAATAATGAACATATTATATACATATATAAGTTAAAACTCCCAAAATGTGATTCCTTTTTAGGAAACCAGTATAATAAGCATAAAACTATGTATCTTTGTATATAACTATACAAGAATGTACGAATTTTTGCGCGAATTGATTATTACAGATTAATTCTCACATTAGTAATTATAAATCGTTCTTTTAGTGTCAGTATGGGCAACAGCCATGGTGTAATCAGCTTCAAGCATTAGTGAAGATAGTTTTGAATACGCTTAATACTCAGCATCATCAGTGTAGAAGAATACCAGCGACTATAGTTATGGGTGCACCGCCTTCGAGATCTCGTGGTAAGAATTCAAACAAGCCTAAAAGATCGTATCTCAGAGAATAATTATAAAGCGGTATATCCTTCAGATGTGTCTCAACCCTCGCTCGGAGTAGAACATGAATTGACAATGAACATGGTAGGAGAAATAGATACGGAAACTCCACCGATGCGCGCACCAATCTCGGTGCATCAACGCAGTCCTGGAGGGATGCACGGGCAAATGGAAACTCATTGGGAAGAGAATAATAGTCCAGCATGTCGTTATTTCAACAAACATTTTACCAGGTCAATAAATTTGTAGTCGTACTCTTGAAATCGTTGACACTCTTGAATTGCACGAAAAATTACAGACAAATATTATTAGTTAAGTTAAAGAGTAGATGAAAATAATAGAGATGAAAATAATGTATATTTTATTTAATAGCAATTATTAGCATTTTTTTCAGAAGAGATTACTTATTATATAATTTTTATACATACTTAGCGATCAATTACTTTACTGTTACAATATTCTTTTTAAATAATATTTAATAGGTGTATGAATTGTGTTAACGTTAGTACACACTTTATTTACGTAAGTAGTGGCATGTTATAATTTGTCGCTATTGCGAATACTTTTGCAAAGTTATTCAATCAATGCGGATGATACGGAGTCCGAGCTGGCAGCGATTCCTGAGAGCCCAAAATCTGACAGCACCTTACATGGCAGCAGTGGAGGATCCCTTGGGGAATTAGAAGAAACAATTCCCAGAAATGCATCTCTTCAAGAACCACATATGTCGATTGTGTTGGATGGGACGGCTGAACCAAACAATCGAAATATTAATAAACCGAAGGCAGAATCCGTGACGAAGCCTATATGGTTCTTAGGTGGAAATGAAGATGAAGTTAATCAAGTAATTTTTTTTATTATAAATCAACCTGCATAAAATAATTAGTGTATAATAGCAAAAAGAACCAATTTTAAATAAAGTGAAAACATTCTCAAATTTTTATGGCGAAATACGAAATAATTGAAACTTATTAAGCGAATTAAAAACATGTGATCACTTGCTGCAGGGAAATAAAAGTGGCCCTCAAAAGAAATGGAGCGTATATGAAGGAGTGAAAATGATGGTAACAAGCACATTTCTCACTGGACAACAAGAGCCTCCAAGACTTTTCCCTAAAACAGCTATGCCGACAAAAAATGGCAAAGGACATTTACCTTACAACGGAGACACATTGAAAACATACGATTTATCGAGTGCTTTAGCACTTGCTACCAGCATATCTCATATTCAAAGGTAAGACTGAACATCTTTCCAACTATTATTTAATGCAACTTTCTAATAATAATACATATTTATTTTTATTAATATTAAAAATATATATTTGTATTTCTTTTATTATAAACTTTTAGACCTGAATTACCAAAGATAAAGGATAAGGAAACAGAAAAGAATAAGGGAAAGGAGAAAGAAAAAGAAAAGGAGATGGAAATGGAGGAGGAGAAACAAAAAGAAAAGGAGAAAGAAAAAGCGCTCGTTAAAACTGTCGGGACTATCAATAATATCGAGCCTCTGAACGCTAAACATTTAGGTAGACAGAAACATGTGGAGCAGATCACAATTACGGCGACATCGCCGATTTCACCTTGCCAAGTAATTACAGTGACGAACAGCGATAATTCGAGTTCACCGGCACTGAGTTCTTCTATATCATCGCAAGTCATAAGTACAGAGAATGGACAGCAAATAGGTGATCCTCCTACTGGTCCGCAACCTTTAATGACTACTCCAACCGTTGAACGATTGCTTCCCATTGGTACAATAGCTCGAGCGACTGGTAAGCAATTCGTATTATTATTTTATTAATTAATAATAAATAAGGTACACAATTTCTTATTAGGATCACGAGCTGCGCAACGTGTGTTAAAATGCGAAGATACATATGGCTCTCCAGAATCACCATTGTCAAAAATGGACATTTTGACAGTCAGTAAGTAAAATGATTTAAAGTGATAAAGAGATAGATTTAATAACGCGAGCAAAAAATAAAATGGAAGGAAAGTTGTCTAATCTAAAAAAGATTGAAGTCGAGTGTAATTTTATAGGTTCCTCATTTGAGCAAGACAGCGAAACTTGTATGTCCAGTGATATTACGAGTCCGCATAGCGTTTCCCAGCTGGAATTTCCAACGCCGGAACGATTACTGCCGGTTGGGCCTCAAAGAGATTTCCCCAGCTTAGTCGAGCGAGTACGTCAAGCTCTCGATATTTCAGATGTCGAAGGTTTGTATGCACTAATCCTGGATCTTGGTGATAAGCCGATAACAAATATTCACGCGTGCATAATATTTTAATAAAAGTTGTCACAATCAAACTCCGAAATATTTCTCTTTTAGATACAAATAATAAATTGCACGAAGATGTAAAACGTGACACCCATGGTATAACACTCACGAAACAGGATAGTGGGGCATCTGATAATGTGGTAAAAACATTTTTTATTGATTTTTTTATAATCTCGCGTGATTTACAAACGCGCAAAATAGATACTTATTTTTTAGGCAAAATAAATTTATAAAAATAAAACATCTTTTATTTATTATCCACAGTCAACATCACTCATACCGACGTGCAATGAAATTAATTCGAGTAGATCGCCAAGTCCGAGAAGACTAATTAAACAGGTGGCTTTGGAATCATCTCCTCCAGCTATCGATCCCGGAGATTTCGTCTCAAAAATAGCAGATTATGATCAGAAGATTAAGTTGAAGGATCAATTTCGAATTCAACGTGACAGAGCACGGAAGATCACTGCTATAACGGATCAAGATATAATTACTCACGCGAGACGAATGGAATCTTGGTAAATTTCTTATGTTATTAGTACTTTTATAACAAAATTATACGGATGATACATATTACAGACATCACATTTTAATTTGCGTATATTTGTCTCGATAGGTCTGGCCCACAAGTCCAACAAAATTTAGATTTTGTCTCTCAACAAGCGTATCATGCAGATTTTAATTTAAAGCAAAGTTTATTTCGCATCGGCGACGATTGCATTTACGATAGGTATAATTTAATAACATACTAGATGTTATTGAATTAAATTATTAGCATCTCATTCAACTTGATTTGATAACATTACTACAGATGTTCGGAGTGCGGAACGATAAGAGAAGAATATTCTGATGAAGAACTTGGATTGTGTATAATAACTTTGGGAACGTTTATTCATCGAGAGCCATCCCTAGCGGCACCGTTATTACCAGAAATACTCGGCGTGGTTACCAAGTAAATATTATATTTTTACCACATATTTAAGCTAATGAAATAAAGTACTAATGTATTGCTTGTGTGTACTAGGGTTGCTCTTAATGCAATGTATCCCTGGCAAAGCGAAACGAATATGCACCTTCCAGGTGGTGCGGTCAGCGTAGCGCACCAATTTCTCAGATGCGTTCTTCACCAATTAGCACCTAATGGAGTATTTACGCAAATGTTTCAGACTCATTTAAACGGTAAGAATATTATATTGATAGACTAATAGAATTCAAATAATTTTCTTAATTCTGAAATTTTTAATATAAGAGTGTTAAAGGTTTTTTGATAATTGTCATATACATTTTACGAATACAGCTGTTGTCTCACATCAATTTCCCAGGAAAATTTCAAATAATAGTAAGTTCTTTTATTGTTATCTATTGTTATACATTCTATTCTTTCAACTTGCAGAAACGACAAGGTTGCAATTTTTCAAAAGCGTTGCGCAAGCCTTAGTCGATTTTAACGAGTTAAATCCAATCGCGCCATTGCAATTGTTGCTTGAGGTAAGAAAGTAATTTAAATATTACGCGTAAAAAGTAAATTCTTAATTGTTTTTGTAACTCTTAAGTGTATTTTTTATGTTAGAATCGCGTTAAGTGTATTTTTTATGTTAAAATGTTCAAAAAAAATTAATTTTACCCTGTAAAATTCAATTTTAGACGTTAAACATGAAAAAGTCATTGCCGCTGGAACGGCTGCCAATAATATTATATAATATAGCATGTTACTTGGATTGTTTGCCATTGGAAGCAGGATTGGGTCCTGCTGCGGCCACATGGAGTGGATTACTGACACAATTTGATGGATTATTTCGAAGACTCGTTCTTATGCTTCCTTCCATCGAGGATATTACTCCTCTCTTACGAATTATGATTTCAATATTAAAAGTTCCAGGGATTCAACAATCGAAGGTACTTTAATCAATAAAATTGCATAACATTTTTTTTTCTTGTTTCCGGATTACTAATTAAAATAAATTAATGTGTAGTTTATTTATTAATTTACTTAATTAAATTAGCATCTCAATTGTATCTCAATATTTTTTTAGGGAATGCTGGATCCATTCTCCAAAATATTAAGTTACGCTATACAAAACTCAACGTTGCAATATAATTATTTAACGGACTTGTGCTATTTGTGCCATAGAGGATTTACTCGTGATCGTGACAAACACTTTTTTGGAAGGACGATTGTATTCGAATTAATTCAGGCCATTAAATTTAAAATTACAATACCGGACTCCAACTTTTTATTATTGCTTCAATTTGTGCTCCAAGTAAGTAATTGCGTAATATTCATAACATTATGTCAAGCTTTTCAATTTAAACTTTGGATATAATTTAATTAATCTACAATTGAAAACTGACAAATTAAAAGAATATTAATAATAACGTGTAATGCAGGATATTGGAGGATCCTTGCCTAATAGTGTCGTTGCAATGGAAAATAATATTCAGACAGACATGTCGCCGATCTATAACACGAATGCTTCTGAATCTTTAAAGAATCAGTTATCGGATGTCCTCGAATTTTTAACTGATTTTCATACTTTAAGTAAGATCAAGGTAATACATCTAACACGCAGATGTGTGCTAAATAAATCGCTATTATAGTTAATAAGATTCTGCGAAATTTATTTTCCTCGTCACTTAAAGAACTTTTCCTTTCTCAGAGTTATAGCAAAGGTATGCAAGCAGGATTAAACGAGGACACGATAGGCGGGATGTTAAAGTGTGGCCTTGCTCAATACGTAGCTTTAGAAATTACGAGAGGCAACAATAGAGAGAACAGAGCCGTAGCACGTTACTTGCCGTGGTTATACACCGTACCGTCTATACAACAAGGGTAAGCTATTTTTATCATTATTAGTCATCTCTTTTGTATTTTAGACTATTAATAAGATTTTATCTAATTAATGCAATTATAGAAGCTAATTGAATTTACGTGAACATTTTAGAGCTCGCGAATACGTCGATTGTATTGGCCACATCAGACTCTTATCCTGGCTGTTACTGGGATCACTTACGCATATAGCAATGTATACTGGCAACAATAACAGTCATTCTCATTCAACGGTACCGTTGGCGCAACCGATACCTCAAGAAGTATCTTGCCACATCGCAGATCACATACAAGTCATTTTCTCGGGGTTTCCTGAACAATCAAAAACCTCGGTCCTTCACATGTCCTCGCTCTTCCACGCGTTCATTCTTTGCCAAGTATTTATATCTTAGATTATATATAATATTTTTAATACAGGTTGTGAAATATTATACTTATAAGTTCTACTGAATTTGCATTAACGAAACATTACGTTTTGACTTTAGCTTTGGACAATGTATTTGGAAGAAATGTCTAAAAATAATGCAACAAACAGCGAAAGCCACAATGTCACCATGAATATCTTGTTAGAATTTTGGGGGAAGATAACGCCATGCATTTTGCAACTCGTTTCTTATTCGAAAGCTGTGAGTACAAAATATTCAATATTATTTAAGTTCTATCTTCTTAAATTGACACATTCGAAATAAACTTGAAGCAACAACATGAAGAAACAATTTAATTTTTAGCTCTCTGAAATGCTTAACTTGCATTTCTTAAGCTTGTTAGAGGCCTTATTAGAATGCGGATCGATCCTGTTGAGCAAATTACTACCTCTATGGAATGCTATATTATTTTCTCATCATGTTCAAGTAAGAACAGAATTGGAGGTAAAACCGAACAATCGGAACAGAAAGACAAAGTACGGTGACCAATTGTTGGCTTGTTTCATTTTTTAGCTACCAGGACATTTACAAATGCGGTTGCAAAATTGCCGCGATTTCCCACCGAATAAAATGGCGGAAAATTTCGTTACTAATAGAAGAGAATCAAACGCGATACTCTTACGATGGTTACATCGTTTACAGTTTAAGATGGGCCAAATAGAAATGCAATCTTCTACCGCCACGCAATTCTATTCCATTTAAAAAAAAAAAAAAAGAGAAATTTAAAAACGAGCTTTACGAAATTTTATTTTGTGAAATTGGAAAATTTCACATTGATCAATATATGCCGAAGATATAAAACGAGGTATACAAAAAGTTGTTCTTTAAATTATAATTACTATAAATAATTTTAATAAATCGTTAAATTTTTTTTTTACTATAGTGTTGAATTTTTCAAACACTTTTTATTTCCATAATCCAATTTCTAAATCACTTTCTCAAGTTCCTATATATTTAGTATTTAAAATAACGATAAATTGATATGAGATCTGATTGAAAAATAATTTTTATTGAGCAATATTATTTCACTATGTCGAATACAAAGAAAATTTTAGTTGCAATATTTTTAAATTTAATATACTTAGTGGACGAAAAATAATTGAAAACGGTGCTTTAAAATTTATATTACAGCGTGTTTATGCATTTGCAATACATAATTTAAGTACTATGTGCAAAGTTGTTATTTAATGATCGCGTAAGAAATTTCAAAGTTAACATTTCAAACTTTTAATTCCAATGTTTATACCGTTGTTGTTGTCGTTGTTGCTAGTCCTTTTGGTTTAATCATCATCAATGCACGTTTTAGAGTATAATCCCAACCTCTCCAACGGAACCATACGATACCTTTAGTATAACAGCATAATTTTTATTTGTGAATACAGATTGAGAATTTAATTTTAATTTTTCCACAATATTTACGATATTTATTTTATTAATTAGAAGATTGAAATTTACCTTAATTTTAATATTTGCATTAGCGAATTATAAACATACCTTGTCGTGCAGTAACATCTTGTGGATCATTTATATAAAGACCATTTAAGCCACGTCCGCAAGACTTCCACCACCAACCACCCTTGAGCATTGAAGCACAATTCAAGGATGATCTGTCATTATCCCTAAAAGCATAAATATATCTTTAAATCTAATAAGTTCTTATGGCATATATATGATTTCACATGTAATTACGATAATATAAAAAGATATATTTTATTTGTCATACAATAAACATTCTGTATTATTTATTATATAAGACGTATATATCTTACCTGTTGTACGTAGAAAATGGACTATTGTTTGATCCGTACCAAGGATCGTTCAATGAATCTCCGGCGTTTCCTTCATATCCATCTATCTCCAATTTATAATACTCTCCCTCCGAATAAATCTTAAAATGTGAATATTGTGCATACCTAATAAAATGAAATTATAATATTAATTATATTCGATCGATTTAAATTTATATCTGCGCAATCTATTTCCAATACAGTAAAGCTACATGTACATTATTAGTACCCTTTAACAATAGTAAAAAAGCTGCTATAATCAATCTACAGTTTAGGCATATACCTTTTGTTACCTTCGAAGTCCTCAAGTTCAACTCTGAGCATGTAATCTTCATTATTTGTTAACATATATATATTTTCATTGCCTAGCCAAAATTCTTTAGCGGGATCTCCAAATCCATTTTTATAATCTGCCCAATCTCTATTAAAATTCTCTCTTGGTTCTCCAAAATCATCTCTTCGTTGAATAACCTTTAAAAATGAAAATTTATTGTAAATCGATTTACAACAAATATCTAAGACACGTATGTAAATGTACTTATATTAATTAATCGATCGATATGTCTTCTCTATACAGAAGTCTGTGATCTTCTTTAATTTTTTTTTACTTCATTTTTTGATAAATGATAGAATTTAATAATTTTTATTTTAATATCGTCATTTAAACCGTATATATTTAATGTTGATAATAAACTCACCGTCCAGCCACCGTCAGCAACTTCCTGTTCACAATAAACTTTAAGGAACCAATATGTCGTACCGCGTATTTGTAGATAGTATACCCCACCGTCTCTCATTCCTCCGTTCAATAAATCCACGCAAGAGTAACCCTGAAATTACAAAATGCAAAAGATAATAAAAAAAATTAAAAGTCGGTACATATTATAGATATTATCAAAATCTTTTTCTTTTGCTCTTTGAAATAAGTCTCGTAAAAATATCTGATAAAAATCAAATAAAAATAAAAAAAATATATTAAAATATTTTAAACAATACATTCTCGGCAATAATTTTTTGTAAATCTCTTTTTTTTTACTATAAGCTATGACACGCTTTACATTGTTCGAGACGATCATGCTTTTTTTTTGTAAATAAAGAAAACTACACAAAATATTAAAATACCTTGACATCCTTATAATTAATTAATATGTCGCTTGTGAAAGTAGAATTTGCTAAACTCGGTTTATTTTTAACACTCGGGAATATCACTCCGCGATTTCTGCTATTTGGTCTTGCTGTACTCGAAGATGTAGTCATAGGTGTCGTGGAACTATAAGTAGGATTATTCGAGGGTGAAGCGACGGATGATATCGATGTTGTAGTTGATAAGGACGGTGAGGCAGTGGGTAGCGTAGATGTGGGCATCTCCGTTACAAAATCTTCGGCTACGCTGACGTATCTTGGAATAAACAATATGTGACTTTATTTCGTGTTTGACTTATTAAATATTTCTTCTGTATTATGGAAAATATTTTGAATTGGAGGAAAGATTTCGTTAAAGAACAATTATATTGTGCAATCGTCACTATTTCTTAAGTCAAATGCTGTTGCAAATATGATAGTCATTACGTAAGTTTCGATAATCATTTTGTAAATTATCTAATGTAAAGAATGTTTACCTGCTTGGATCATATTCAACGAGTCGATCGATCGTTGGATCTAATAACAATTCAGCCGCAATCGGACGTTGCGCGAGAGTGGCTACATCATCCTCTTGTTTCCTCAAGCGGCTTTCGACGCCTTCGAGGTTTTCGATAATTTTGTTTGTTTTTGATCTTAGATCAGCGTGAATTTCATTGATCGCTCTCTCTTGCCTTTGAGTCTGAGTAAGTAATTCGTCGGATTTTGGCAGCAAGCCGTCCACTGAACTTTTAGTTCCCATCTGATATTATTTAAATTGATATTATGTTATTTTTTATGTTATTATGCGCACACTGATTGTAATATCAGTTCTTTAACAACATTATAATGCACTCCCGAAAATAAAATGCTATTGTTAATTTCATATTTAAAACTCACCACTACATTCCAAACTTGATCCATTTTTTCAGAAACGGTAAGCATCGGATACATTTGTTCCGCAAGACGATCGATCTTGCTTTGTTTCGTCGGGGCTTCGGTTGTTGTTAAATTAAGACGATTATGCCGATTGTTCTCATTATTTTTCTCGACAATAGCTTCGTGCACGTCACTAATCATATTGTACACCGCTCCGAGATTATCCGACACTAAATTCATATGGAATTGAAGCTTTCGATCCATATTACCTGTCGCTTGCTTAAGATTCTCAATCTCAAGCGTCATATGGTTCATCACCTCGTTACTCATAGCCTTGGTGATCTCGATGACGCTCATACTAACGGGCTTTTTTTCACTCGCCTCGGCATTTATATCATCATTTTGTAAAAAATTGTTGTCGAGCTGATTCTTAAGATTGACAAGCTTATGATCAATATCGGAAACTTTCTGATCTAGAGAAATCAATTTTTCGCCGACAGTTTCCGGCGCTTGATCATTTTGATCATGATGAATCACACGTATCAATGGAACTGTAACATTTTAGTTAAACATTGTAATACAATTTGATTTCAATTACGTTATCTTTAATTTATTTGCACAATGTAATAAAAGTGAAATGCTATTTCTAAATAAGAAGCTTATATTTTGCTTAATTTTTTAAATAAAAAACTTGACTCATTTCCCTTGCACACACACCGTTATATATACATATATATATATACATATATATACACATATTTCTTAATAAATATTTTAAAACAGCTTGATACAATTTTTTTCTTTTTATGTGTCATAAGCGAAAAAAGAAATCGAGACCGATTAAACAACCAGATATAAAGTATAAACTCCGTGAAGATATGTATCACATACTTACTATCTTCTGTATGACTTCCGCTCTTACTTTCGGTAATTCTCGTTGCAACTTCCATGGGTATGCTAGGATACGCATTGAAAAGCTTCAAATCTAACGTCCTAAGTTTAGTAATCACCGCATCTGTTTTGTCAATGTTATCGTTTACACGTGAATCTAAAGCCTCTACTCTTCTCATCAAATGCTCCACTGCCTTATCTAAATTCTCGATTCGCTGTAACTTGGACTCCAAAGTTGATACTATTACTTCAAAGACGTTGAAAAGGTATTGCTCTCTACAACAGATAATATTTATTGTCTTCGTCTAATTGTTACTTCATATCATTACTAATATCAGAATATATATACGGCTGTCTATCACATAAACTCTCCAATAATAAAATAAATCGTTTAAATATCAATTTTTATGATATATATTTATTATTATTTATTATATACATATATATGTATTTTTGATAAAATATCTTTTCCTGACCATTATTATTTGTATATATATAAATAAATTTTCATTAATGAGTTTATTATTGGTAATTTGAATAATAACGGCAGTATAAATTTGTCATTTGAAAAATTACTCAATTGTTCCAATCGTCATTGCATTAAATGAAAAAGATTCATTATAGTACCGTGAATCAAACATTTGCAACGACTCTCCATGGCTCTATTGAAGATACATCACATTTAGTGTCATTAAAGTGAAGCTACAACATCGCGTGATGCACGGTTATGAATACATTCGCAAACTAAATGGAAAGTTTCGTAAGCGAAATATCGGCAAGCTTTGGGAGTATGATCGACTGGTTTACGTAACGAGCGGTTAACTGTTCAGTTCTCCCGTTTATAAGATCTGTTATTACGGTCCATTTTGCACTTTTATCCGTCGCATAAAATCGAGATGTTCTCGTCCGAGTAAAAAAATGGAAAGAGAGAAGGAAAACGAGGATGCAATGACATCCTCTCTATATTCTCACCTATTTCGTTGCAAATTGCGTGAGGACGGCTGTAGCGTTGCGCCGGTATTATTATGGCTTGCACTACGCGTGCCACGCTGATCAGCGGATGTTCGAGGTAATCGAGGACTTCCCGCTAAGACAAAGCCCAAAACGCAAGTGATAACGAGCAC